TGAAACGTTTGCTAGTTCTGATTCAATGAGGAGAGGGGTGGGCAAAAAGAAAGAGAAAAAAAAAAGATGAAATAACGAACGAGAAGGGAGGAAAGAAAGAAGTGAAAAATCCTTCGGCAACGTGTGATGATGGTGGGTTAATGAAAATTACCCGAAATTCTTTTCAAAGCAGATAATTAATTAATTTAGATAAAAGATCAAAAAAGATATATCACCGGAGAAACCTTTCCTCCTCTTTTTTTATTCTTTTTTCTTTTCTTTTTTTTTTCTAGAATCATGGAACGAATTATTACAGAAACATTTCTCTATACTTTTCCTAGTTACAGGATCGCGCAGCAGGACATTTGGTTGAAGGGAAAATCATGCGAATTAATTCGATTTAATTCGAGTTGTCGCCGAGATTGAAACTTTCGATCGAACTTTTCTGTATCAGCGTATTTAAAAGGATCCCCTCTCTACCCGAAACACCCTACACCCTTTACACTTTCTCGCAATCTAATTACACGGGCAAAGTTTCAACTTCAGTCGACTGCCGAGCCGACATTCGACGTATAAGGAAATACATGGGTGTAAAAAATCAATAGTAACTTCTTATACATACATACATATACATATATATATATTTATGTACACATACTTATATCGAAGTTGCAACTTGCTTGTTAACGTCGTATTCGAATTCTACATTTAAACCGCGAGAATGCTGCTTTTAAAGAATTTAAAATGTGCACGGGGCGTGAATAAAACCAGAAACGTCAAACCTCTATATCGATCGAACCTAACTATCGCCAACGTTACCTGGCATCCTTCTTCTATCTCTTCCTTTCTTTCTCTTTTTTCCCCTCTCTCTTTCTCTTTTGCTTTTCTCCAACATCGAAGCTTTGTAAATCCAGATGCGCGAAAGCTCGAAGTGTTTTTTCTTTCTTTTACTCCTACTTGGTGGAATATTATATTATACGTTGACGTTGAGAGACTCTTATTGCGCAGACGCAATAAAATAATTACACTAAAATGAAAAAAATATGAAAATTAAAACGTTATAATCCTAATTTATATTTATTACATACACATGCGCAACATTCGGAAAGTCATATAAACAATATTAAATAAAAGAATTTTTATAGAAAACAACGAGCCAGTCTGAAGGTGAATTTCGAGGAAAATGGTGCTCTAAACATATACCCAGTGCTTCTAGATTACAATACACATGTTTTTTCAATTAATTAACAGTTATTTTAACCCTTAACAGACCAACGCAACATTCGGAAATTCATATATAAACAACTTGTAACAAAAAAATTTTGATAGAAAACAACGTGCCAGCCTGAAGGTGAATTTTGAGGAAGACGGTGCTCTGAACATATACCCAGTACTTTTTACTTACATTGTATTTTACTTACTGAGTCCAATGCCCCGCATATGGCGGCAAGAACCGATTTATTTTTATTACTATAATTGTTGTTTTATGTACTAGAAATGCGTTAAATATTGTGTTATGTCATTTTTGTGAATTTTTGTCTGCTTGTTATCTATGTTCCGTTATCTTTTATCGTTTTTATGTAAATGTACTTTTGTGTTATTTGCATGCAAATTCAGTCTTTCGGACCGTTCAGGGTTAATATTCTAATACACCTTACTTACATTACAGGACAATTTTACTCTCGAAATCATCACTGCGCAGGATTGATAAAATAATTATATTAGAATGAAAAGAATGTTAAAATTAGAACGTTATAATTTTAAATTCTCTTTACTAGCAATATTATTACCATTGCACACATGCGCAACGTTTAGAAATTCATATAAGCGACATTGAATAAAAGTATTTTCATAGAAGACAATAACTCAGTCTAAAGGTGAATCTCGAAGAAGAAGGTACATATGTAGATCATTTATTCCGAGCTTTTAGGTAACAATAGACACTTCTATCGATTAATTAACACTTTTTGTAAATATTCTAATACATTCTACTTACATGACAGTATAATTTAATCATCATAGTCATTACTGCGCATGAGCGATAAAATAATTACATTAGAATGGAAAAAAAAAACTAAAATTAGAACTTTATAATCCTAATTTCTATTTATTCTTATATTATTCAATATTCTCGTTACACACACACACACACACATATATATATATATATATATATATATATATATAACGGAATTTATGTAATTAAAAAATATTTTAAATGGCATTTCGTAAAGATATATAAAATAAATCGTGTATTATTTTTTTCAATTTTTGAAGCATCTTAAATTATGTTGAATGGACTTGGGTTCCCTTAAATTTTATAACGAATCTGGTTGTTAATTTTGAAAATGACCTAACTCTATTCTTAGACAGAAAACGCATATTATTCACTTAATAATTACCATTTTATTTTAATTGGAACTATAAATTTAATTTCTTTAGATATATTTAAACAATATTACTCATTAGTATTCCATATGTATATTTTTAATTGCATTGAAATGCAAACCCTTCAATAGCTCGATTTGAACATAAATGGAGTTAGGCCACTAGGCATCTCAAAATAAACGACTCATTTACATACATATATATATATAAATCGTTTTTCGAGATATATCGAAGCAATCTACAAGTTAGAATTCTTTTACTTTAGCACGGATTTTCTTGAAATTAGGTGGGTGGTAATTTAAGGGGTGGTAAAAAAAAAAGAAACTAGAAATGCAAGCTTCTTATATTAGTCGATATTTCTTTCTACGAAGATAGAGAGATTCGTTGAAGCCTTCAATAACTTTCTCTTTGTATTGTATTGTATTTTTCTTTTTTTTTTGTTCTTATCCTCTCATCGTTCTCCTACTTTTCTATCTTTCTCCGTCATTTCTGTCTGATGTTTTTCAAGTTGTGTAATAGTTTGATTCGGTTAGTAGACGAGGTTGTCGCCAATAGGAAAGTTTCCATTTATGGCCGTTGGGATCTGTCGTGGATCGATGAAAGCAGACATGAATTTGCTTATGGTTTTAACCCCAAAAAGACACAAACCTTATCTTTCTATTTCTTTGCTTTAGTTGTTTTTTTTTACCTTTCATACTTTTTGACATCTCCTCGAAGGATATCGAAGTTTGAAATTGTTTTTGAAATGTCCTCTTACTTTATGAAAAAGTTAGAACTCTTTTCGTCACAAGGACCAACCGATTGGTGAGATTTTATTTGATATTCTTCCTTTTATCTTTCTCTATACTTACAAAAAACTCCACTTTTCATGATCTCTTTTCAAACATGGCGAACTATTACGTTTAATCCGTTGGATTGTAATACCGGGATATCTTTCACGTTCGTCATTAAATTATAAAGACTATTGCATATGTATAACTAAGAGGATTAATTATTCAACAATGATTTATTGGATTGAACTATCTGTAATGACTGATAGGTTTGATTAAATTAATTAAATACAATTCATTATTAACATATATTATATTGTGTGTGTGTGTGTATATCTACATATATATGTAAATAGATATTCGATGAAAATAAATAAATAAATCAATCAGTCAAATTACAATATAAATATATTTAATTAACATAAAGTTGTATTATAAAACTGATAATTATTTAATTAAATAAATAAAAATAAAAGTAAGAAAATTGTCTTCATTTTCGTCGAAGACGGGATCGTTAATTAACACGAAGTAGTAATACTAATTAAAACCTCGACAAGCAAATGATTCTTCTCTTTTCAAATCGTTAAAGGATTTAATTCGACGAAAAGGGGAGAGATTGTCGAGGATAAAACTTTTCGAAGATCAAGCAGACAGACACTATTACTACTTGCTTGTCTCTCTTCTTTTAGTAATACGTGTGGGTGTATGTATGTGTATGTGTGTGTGCGTGAGCAAGTCAGTATGCTTAAACGTTCGGCGAATGAGAACGTTGTCGTATAGAAGAGTCCCAGAACGAGTTCGGAAACGAGTTCAAAACGAGTTCAAAACGAGCCGCGGGATGAGCTAGCTCGTGGAATGAGTTTCCAAAAGGTTTTCCTCTGCTACTTCTAGTCGAAGAAGGAAAACCCTCCTCTCCCCCCCCCTCTCCACCACAACTTAAACCAACGTCCAAGTTTTTGTTCGTTTCGTTCGAATTTACGAGAATAATTAAGAGTTTAACATTTTCCTTTTTTTTTTTCTTTCTTTTATACAGCGTTTTTTCTAATTATCGATAAGTCAGTTTTCTTATTTGGATACTTTAATCAATTATAAAAAAAAAAAAAAAAAATAAAAGTTAATCAAACTAAATATTATTCAAACGAATATATATATATATTACATATACTTTGAAAAAGTACATTCGATTCGATTCTCATGCAATATTTTTTTTCATTTTCTAATATTTCATAAGAAAACAACGGTTAGAAAAAATATTGATTTCGATCGGATGATAAACGAAACATTTGGTATATTACTTTGGAATTTTTGTTCAATTTATAAACAACGTGTAAGAAGTTATTTGATCAGTGTCATTTGTCGTATAAAATTAACTTTTAACGTTTTCAACGATGCATTCGTTCTATGACATTTTCTTTTGAATTAAAAATAATTAAAGCAAACATCATCTCCAAAAATAAAAATAAAAAAGGAGAAAGTTTAATAGGTCACAGAAATGCTTTTTTTTTTTCTATCGATGATCGAAAAATCGCACTGGGAATAATTCCAACTGGTATTAATAAAAAAGTTATATAATCCGTATAAAAGGGATGGAACGAAAACTCTCTTTCTTTTTTTTCTTTTTTTATGTAGACAAAAAAAAAGTGTAGGAGTTATCGTTGGACGGAAGTTAAATGTTTAAATTCTGCGAGAGAATTGAAACTTTTTTTTTTCTGGCAAACTGTAGAAAACTTATAATTAATCGTTATCCATGATTAAAGTTTTTTTCTTTTCTCTTGTTCATCAGACATAAAAGTCGATCCTCCGATCGTAACACTTGCGCTCACCTTCTCTAATTTTATTTTCTTCTTTTCTATTATATTTCAGGTGTCGCGCAGGGTATCAGATGTTACAAATGTGGACAATACAACGAGGGAGTGGGAAGTATCACGCCTTGCATTAATTTTACCGCTCATATGGATTTGAAGGATTGTCCACCGAATTCCGAATGGTGCATCGTAAGTTGAGAACTTTTTCGTTAAATTAAACAATAAAATATTATAAATATAAGAAAGTTTAATAGATATTTTTTACGATAGTTATGATTTAAAACAAGATAGAATGTTTTTGATTTTTATAGTAATCATGTAGATGTCAAACGTAATTTTCTTTCTTTTTATTTTACATTTTATTTCTAGTTTGTTTGGGTATTGATATATATTAAATTATATATCTAATTTTACATCTTAGAAATTAATGCGTATTATTATTTCAGTTTATTAACAATATTTATTTCTATATGAGGTATATGAAATAATATATTTTGAAGTGTGAACTATACTTTACAATATATTACAAAATTATCGAAAATCCTTTACAATCACAGTGAAAATGTGTAGAAAATAAGATTTTTCCTTTTAAAAACGTAACACCAAAACTCATCTTTTTGGTATTCGAATGATAACACTTTCCACTTAACATTTTTGTTTGCGAATAAACGCGGCGGCTTACTACTCGGCACACTTCTCAGCGTTTTCTTTCGCCAGGTTAGTAAATGGATCGCAACAGGTCGCGAAACGTGAATGCCAATAGGATGAAAAAAAAGCTTTGGTAGGTTATTAAACCGTTAATCAGACTTCGAAGCTAAAAAAAAATAAAAGAAGAAAAATACAACTCAATGCTTTTCTTTTTTTTTATTTTGTAATCGGTATTTTTTTTCTTAATACCATTACACGAACTCGATTCGATTTTCTGAGTATTACAAGTAGAATATATTTCCACGTATTTTATTTTTTCTTTTTCTTCTTTTTCCTTCTTTTACCACGAAATTTGATCCACCTGACCAATTCAATATTTTAGAAACGTCATATCATATTTCTCAAAGCTCTTATACCATATATATCGATTTGAATATATAATAAAATATTGCTGTGTGAGAGAGAGATAGAATTAGAAAGAAAGGAGAAAAAAAGCATAACACACATTTTATGAAAAGAATACCTTCATTTGCTTCTCATCGATTCTTTTCCATCAAGTCTTGCATTAGTCTTTGACGTTTAATGTTGAAAGCATTTAAATTGGATCGTATTTTGTATATACTTTTTGAGTCGAGCTTTTTCTTTTTTTCTCTCATTCTCTTTCTCACTTTTATCATTTCATATGTATGTACTTACATATATATATATAATACGTATGTAGATAACATTCCTTATACCGTTTCCCTTTTATCGCCTTTTGATCTGAACTCGTGAGTGCTTTTTGAAATCGATAACGATTCGTATATATCTCGTAAAAAGGTATACATACATCAAACGGACACACTCGAGTTAACCTAACAGATAATATATCTTTCCTATTTTATCCTTTATCCTTTTTCTACCTTTTCCCTTCTCTTCCTGTATTTTCATCATCAGTTATTTCAAAAGCGTACAGATATAAGTAGATTCAATTTAAAATTCGACACAAATTTTATATACGTATAAATACGAATCACACATATTCACATTTACACACACAAAAGTAAGAATATATCCGCAGGGAAATGAATGAACTAACTTTATACGAAGTAAGTATTCTCGCGAAACTTTCTTCGCGAAATATAAAGAACCCTCAAATTTACTTCAATTTTTACGCCTTATTCTTCTTTCGAAGAATAGTAATCTAGCTTATTAAATCTTTTGATCTCGTTCCCTTTTTTCTTTTCTACTTTCTTCTCTTTATCTTTCTCTTTTTATTTTTCTTTTTCTTTTTTTTTCATGAGAATTACGAGTACGCAAACTCGTGTTTTATGTCGTAAAAAGAAAATAAGTTTAAAGAATTGTAATAAAAATTCAAGTATTTTGTATACTTACTTAGAAATTGAAGTTGTTAATCGTTTTATTGGTCTCTTGAGAACAATCTAGATTTTTTTTGGTAAACTTTACTTCCCTTTTGTTTTTTATTTTAAAGAAAAAGAGAGATAGATGGAGGAAGGAAGAAAAGTAATTAACAAAGATCAATTCATTCTTCTTAAAGTTGTATAAATAATTATCCCTAATTTATTCTCTTGCTATTAGAATCATTTTATCCATGATAATTACACGTTCAAAATGAATATAATCGTTACGGTGGATTTCATTTAATTGTTAGATAAAAGAAAAAAGAACCTTCATTATTTCGTTTTTAAAGAAAAAGTAAGTAAGTAAAGAAAAAAAAGGAAAGAAAGAGAAAGAGTAATAGAAGGAAAGAAGAAAAAGAAATGTAGAAAAGCATCAATTTTCTTTTTAAAGTCATATAAATAATATCATTCTAATGGAAACAACGTCGTTCGTACTTCATTATTCTGCAGCAAGTGAGCAAAAAAACTTTGTTTAAATATACAATATAGAGTAGTTCTTTCTTGAAAGAAGAACGTTGAAATGATAAAGATTTTAAAAGAGAAAGAAAGAGAGAAAGAGAATGATTTATGATTTAGTGCATTGTGAAAGAGAGAAAGATGTAAATTTGAAATTTGCTTTCTTTCTTCTTTACTTTTTCTTTTATTTTTTTCTTTTTCTTTATCTTTCATCGAAACATGAGATTTAACAAAAAAAAAAAGAGAAAAAAGAAAAAAAGATTCGAAATGGAGAAAATAGTTAAAGTTGAAAATTGTCGATCCTTTAGCAGACACATTTTACCTTTTTATTTTCTTGTTCTTTTCCCCAAAACGTCGAATTTATATTTCCCCTTTCTTCCCCTCCATCATACTCAAGAACTTTTCTTCTCATTTCTCTCCTTTCTTCTTCATTCGGGAGAGACGACTGAAAGTGGAAGATATCGAGGAAACTCATTCAGCAAACCAAGGTAGAATAATAAAAAGGTCTCGAAGGAGCAGGAAATGGGCCGGATATCGAGATCAGTAGTCTTCCGCGCTATTGGTCAGCCTTTTTCCGTTTTCTAGATAAGAGAAAGTGGCTACTTTTAAAGTCATTACATTTATATATATATATACCTATGTATATTGAAAATTATTTTCATTATTATTTTTTATTTTAAGGTTCTTACAAAAGAGAACTTTTTTTCAATTTATATTTAATCGCAGTATGATTAACGTAATATTTTTTATAACATTTACAAATAATCGTCGATGAAATTTTGTTACAAGTTCTAAATTAATGAAAACCGAATATTAAATTAAAATAAACCGAATATTTAAAAAAAAAAAAGTCAAATTATCGTAGTAGGTAATTTTTCAAATGGAACTATTGTTGGTGATTTTTATTTTTTAAATAATAATAATTAATGTAATAATTAATATAAATTATTATATATAATATTAATTTAATTTACTAAATTTATTTATTATATTATTTAATTATAATATTAATATTAATATTAATGTGTCTAAATATAAATAATATAATTAATGTAAATATTAATATCATCTATACACAGATAAAAGAAACTATTATATTTGTATTCGTAATTTCGTTCCTTTCTTTCTGTTTTTGTAAATTATCGTTAATAATTGAAAAATCATTTTTATATATTTTTTAATCTACAAAAAAATAAACACGTGAATTATTTGAAAATTGAAATATGCGTTTCTCTAAACTCGAACTCAAATAGAAAATATTATCTATGCACAGATTAAAGAAACATTACATTTATATTCGTGATTTCTTTTCTTTCTTATTATTTTTGTTTGAAAAATCACTTTTATATCTTTTTTATATTAAAAACAAACAGAGCATATGAATTAATTGAAAATTGCAATACGCGTTTTTTCGAATTCGAACTCTCGAATAGAAAATTAGTTTGTTTGATCTGAAAATGAATTGTCAAAGCATTATTACAAAAGTTAGTATCTAATCGTGAGTTAAGGGGGGGAGTGTCTTTTCGTTTCTAACAAGATGAACGGACAATTCCCAAAAGTGATACAATTTCCCAAGCAAAGGTGCATTCACGTTAATACAGTGACTGCATTATTACGTAGATTCGCGTTGCATCCTCGTCCCTATACAATGTACCGTCGGGTATTCTGGTTTGCCCTTCAAATTAGTGCCATGCACAGATATCAGACAGGTATTAATTAACATTTAGCTGTGGTTACCGGCCACGGTAGATACCGATTAAGCCTTCCAACCTTGTCTACTAAGTGCGAATACATACATAAGTACCGTGTGTTAGTGAATAATCGTGTCGAGCGTTTCTACTCGTTAATGCGAATTTAGTTACGAGATTACCTCGCTAGCAGATTAATCTTTGTTACATGTTAAAACGAAATTTCATCTAATTTTCATTCAAAACGTCGGTAACATAAGTTACACCCGTATCATATTTATTTACAATATGTATCTTGAACAATTAGAAATTTAGTTTCATGATTTTATATATTTTTTGTAACAATATATAGAAATCAAAAATATTTCAAACAGAAAATATCAATTGACGCGATTTTTTTATTATAATTTAAAATCAAACTAAGATAATTGCATGTTTGGAACATTTAAGAATAGGGTCATTATTCCACATCAAATCGATCAATAGTTGGAATCGATCCCTTTCGATTTGGACGAAATTTGGTCAAAAGTTTTCTTTTATCCTATAACGAAGTTCTGCCAAAGAAAAAAAATTAAAAAAATTGTTGCTTAAAGTTATGCAAAATTCAATATTTCACTATTTTTCCTGTTTTTTAAACTTATGTTTTAAATATCTCGAAGACTATTGCAATTAAAAAAAAAACTGAAGGCTTGTTTTAAAGATACTTGGGGCTATGAAAAAAAAGATGTTCGAAAAAAAATTTTGAAAAATCGCGAATTTATGAAATTTTGAATTTTTTAAAGTTTTCAAAATTGACGATCGACAATAAATTTTTGGCTTTTTAAAATTTTTTTTCTTTGACAAAACTTCGTTATAGGATAAAAGAAAACTTCTGACTAAATTTCGTTCAAATCGAAAGGGGTCGATTCCAACTATTGGTCAATTTGACGTGGAATGACCCAATAATCAAATTGTATCTAAAAATTGCAATCAGTAAAAATAATTTTTTTAACATTAC